ATGATAATTGCTTACTTACTATGGTGTTCAGCACTAATTCACTTGGGTATTGTGAATGTTTTTCTACGTTTTTATCAGGTCACTTTGCCCTATTACGCTAGACCCTAACTGAACGCTACACACACTTACGAACATTTGCTACAGTACATTATGGCACGTTCTTTACATAGTATAATAAAACACACCTACAGCATGGCAGGGCTACAGGAAAGGTTTGTGTGCAACAAGATGAACACCATAATAAAAGCGCAACACTGCCAATAATAGGTACTAATGTAAACTTTCACAGAGCAAGGCATGGAGCCCCTAAGCCTGACCATGAACTGTTTGGCCCCCACTGTCTAACCTCTGGGCTCAGGGGCCGCAATGTGCTGGGACCCAGACAAACTCTCCCCAGCCGAGGTGTCAGCGATCCTCTGTCCAGCACACATGGCCTTCAGCATCTGGAAGACGGCCAGAGGAGCAACATTCATCTTCAGCAGGTCCACAATGATCCTGAGGACAGACCGCATGAAAGTTTACAGAGACATTAACACTGTCGCAGATTGCTTTAGGTCATACTCCAGGTTTCTTCTGTTTTAAAAAATTGTTAAAATTGTTCCTTTCTGTATCCCCAAAATTTGGGGATCAGCAATTGTTCTTCCACAAAAGTCACCATGCATTATGAATCAGCACAAAAGAAACTGAATGAATATATACACATTCTTGGGCATGCTGTTCACTTCTGTTCACACTATAAGGTTATGAAACACGCAGATCAGCCATCCGATGGGAGCTGTATTTCAGATAGACTTTAACCCTGGAACTGTTTCCAAATGTGTACAACACCCCTCTGGAATAAACCACATGCTTTCCAACAGCGTGGAGACCTTTATATGGCTCTCAGAACCCACATTAAGAAAGGATCAAAAATCTTTATCTTTGCAAATCCATTTTATGTAGAACTCCATTATACCCTCCCCTCCACTGCAGTTCTAATTCAGCTTTGCATGTGAGTGAGTTTCAGTAGGGCAGCTCAGTGGTGCAGTGATTAGCATCGCTGGATCGGACAGCAATCCAGACCCAGGGTGCTTTATGTGTGCTCTGTATGTTCTCCCTGTGTTTGGGATTCCTCCAGGTGCTCCAGTTTCCTCCCATAGTCCAAAAACATTCACTGCCTTCTGGGGAAACTGGCCCTGGTGTGTCTGTGTGTGTCTGTGTGTGTCTGTGTGTGTCTGTGTGTGTCCTGCTGGGACAGACGCTGGCTCCCCCATGACCCTGAACTGGAAAAAGCGGTTGGAAGATGGCTGGATGAATTCCAGAGTCAGAGACAGTTTCGTCCCACAAGCTATCAGATTACTGAACTCTACCCCTACCGCTGGCTCACCCTGATGCGCTCTGTATCGGAGTGCACATGCAAATAAGCATTTCAGTGCACTTGTGCACATGACAAATAGACTGAGCTGAAGCTCATCATGTTGGAAAGGCCAGCAGGGGAAGCAAGCAGTACAGAACCAGTGTGTGTGCTCTGCTGGGCCTTACTTGAACACCTCCTGGTCCACCGTGATCCCGGCCGCCTGCGCCAGCTCGAACAGGTCCGTCTCCTCCGCACTCAGGACCTTCTTTTTCTTCAGGGCGTACTTCTGGACGTTCCCACTCACCGTGGCCACCAGGGCGGGCGGCTCCAGGCTGGGCGCCAGCGCGGCGGCCTGCTGAGAGAGCGCCATTCCCTGGCAGGGCAGAGAGACCCCGTCGCTGCCGGTTTCTGTGCTGCACGTTGTCGATTGAGACTAACGAGTATGAGCAGAAACATCGACACCTGCACAAAGCATTAGCTAAAACCTGACCATATTTACACCCCCTGCCTAAAGGAATCAAAACGTCTCCCAGGACGCCTAAAGGCCACTGAAAATACCGTACTTTGTTAGCTTTCAATACAAAAAAGAATAGGTATTTTTGTTTCGTTTAATTAAAAATCATATCTTATAGACAAGACTTGTGTCTTGTATCTTTGCTTATCATGCCTCTCTAACCCCATATTCGCAGTGCTTTGCTATTGCAAAAGCCCTAATGAATAATGTTTAATCATCTTTTCTAATTTGCTCTACGGACGTTCGTATTAGGCTGTATCACAAACATGAACGGCAGATCGCGGAGATCAGCACAAAATCCCGTTTATTACTGGTGGTCAAAGCGGATCCCACACCAGTCAGGGACGTTTTCTGCATCACCTGTTTTTAGAATCAGTCAAATATTCGTCCCTGCCCGCTCGCCAATTCCGAATCAATGAGAGTGATTCTGAATAACTCCGTGTGAATTGAAAACAGGGCTCGAGTACAACTGCTTCATCAATGCAAATCCAAGAAACTCGCTCGGTCTACAAAAAGGAAAACAAACTCTCTAAGGCTAACACACTGCATCACCTTTACTAACCCAGCCAACGTGCTGAGATATAGCACCGCTGGCATTTTAATAGAGTATATGTTTCTTACCTTAAAGATAACACAGCTGTCAATTCCGTAACGACGCAGGTCCCACCCAGAAAGTTTCTCGGGTGGAAACTATCTGTGCTCCTCTACACTCCGAGCCGAGTGGAAACACGATCGCGCACCGCAGTTCCTCATGCAGAGAGTGTGCCATGTGAACCGCTGCTGGACGGTCCTGTTTCAAAATTACTTTAAATAATCAATGCACATATTTTTAAATAATATAAGATGATAACCTTTTTAACAAAAGGCATGTTGAATGACAACGTCAAGAATGTTTGAAGTTGAATGTCATTGTGTGATTATTTTCCAGTTCGCTTTCCGCTTTTCCCAAAAATAAACGAATAAAATAATGCATTTTTCTGTATGAATTATGCTAAATCTGCTTCTAGTAATTTGTTGTTGTTTCGTCGAACTAAAATAACTCCGATGTTACCACTCATGGTTGGTAATGTTGTCCATTTTTTACTCCACTGTTTATCGTCACACAGACTGACATAAAAATTACAGCGATCGTTTATCTATCACAATTTGGACTAATTTCTGATGAACAGCAGATAATGACTCGCTAGATCTGTAGAAAGGTTGTCGGGTCAAATCCCAAAATACTCCTGTTGTACCCTAGAGTAAACTATATACCTAGCTCTACAAATGTATAGTGATGAATGTCGCTTTTTAATAATAACAATAAAATAATAATAATAATAATAATAATAATAATAATTGCTTACACTTATATAGCGCTTTTTTGGACACTCCACTCAAAGCG